GTCCACACATGCTCACACCTGAAATCACCTTCAAAAGACGTACTTTTTGTTAAAATGATTGATCTGAGTCACAATAAGAATGCAGAATAGGTAGGGAAAATTAAGGGTAAATGCAAAGAAAAAAATCTGTGAGGAGGATGAACAGAGGTAAACACAGTTCAGAACTTTTCGTTTCACTATTTTAATAGTGTGAGAACAGTTGTTACTGAATGTTGTCTAACTTTTAGAAATAGGTTGATTTGAGCTGATTCATAGTGGCTTAGATTTACCTAGAGATAACCTTGTTCGTTTCTCAGTTGGCTAATGTTCACCACTGAATGGAAAAACTGTAATAAAACTTTAAAGGATTTGAAAATCGTGAGGTAAATAATACTCTGATTTTCATCAACAGTGCAAGTTTTCTTAATTTAGTACTGGTTACATAAGTATAGTTTATCCATCAGGTAACATTGCCATAGCTTTCTGAAAAGACCTCTTTTAGGATAATTGGAATCTGAGGGGAAAATAATTAATGATTTCAGAGGGTTTAAACATTGGTATTAGCAATTTTAATGTTGGACTAAGTTTTTATTTCCCTGCAAGTTAGATGAGATAGAATATAGACTTGTGGTTTTATTTTCTTACTCAGTGTTCATATGTATAAATGAAATCCATTAGATCTGTATTTAGTTATCTGAGAAGATGAACTTCCTCAACTATTCCTGTGGTTAGGGTTTATATATGGGAGTCTGACAGTGTTTAAGTGGATGCTGGAAGTAGTAGTAGAGTCCAAGCTTACCTGCTTTTTATTTTTTAATTCATTGATTTTAGGTAGTTCATTCAGACTGTGTTCATTATGTTTAGCAGTGATGCTCTTGAACTTGAAAGGAGCTGTTGGCACCGTAAATATAGGGTAGAAGAAGATTTGTAATGATTTTGAAGAATCCAGAGACATAGTTGGTTATTCAAAAGAAGATGAAGTTTGGGTCAGAAGTACAAATTGATTCGGTAAAGGAGAAAAAAAACAATATGGAGATGGTGGTGGCTTGGTCCTTATCTAACATGTAGAAATAAAGCAGGAGTGATGAATATACCTAGTAAGTGCTTGAAATTTCATTAGGGGAAAGAATTTTCTCAGTGTACGAAATTATTGGCAAACCAAGAGCAGTAAAATGCTAAGACAAAAAATTTATGTCTCTAGGGCCTTGTATTTCCCAGACCTGTTGAACATTGAAAACTTAAAAAATGTAGTAATTTATTGAGGGAATTCCAGTATAAGCTTATAGGTTACATAGATTAAGGGAGATAGATAAAAACGAACGCCAGTTAACTGAGTGATCATAATTTTTGTTCACGATGCTTAATACCTGCACATGAGAAATTCTAAGATAAATAGAACAAAGTCAGTAATCATAATTTAAGCAACACGAAGCAGAAGCTTGGTAAGCATTGCATGTACAACTAAATGTAAATGCAGTATTGTATATTATCATATTGGGATGTCCTAGGACTTGTAGATTTTTCTCAGATGTAAAGCCATTTCCTGAGGGCATTTTATACATTTGTTACATAAAATGAACTGCATAACTGTCACCTGTATTCAATAATTGCACCTAGAACTTTTTATATATTTCATTAGAGATTTATTTAGAGAGGCTTTTTTGAGAAGCCTATAGCACTTACATACAGATAAAAATATATGTATATCAAATAAATTAGTTTTAGTATTGCTAAACTTTCTTCATGTTCAGTCTGATTCCTCTAAGAAATTACTTTTTGACTTGAGTTGTCCAGGAATTGTTTTTCCGCACATCTTCCATGCCATCAAGAATTGTGATAATTCAGCATTTCTTGAGTGCTCAATTACTTCTGGGATTTTTTTCAAGGCCATTAACAACTCATTCTGCAAGTTTTAATGCTGGTACTTCCTTGATCTTACCAGAAGATGTCAATGGAAGTTTTTCAGGTAATAACAAGGACTCAGTTCTTCAAATGTTTTGCTGACCAAATGTTAAGGGGTTGAAACCTTGTCCAAAGATACTACTAGGAGTAATAAGCCACTGCACTTTCCAGAGGCCTTACTCAAGTGTTTATAGAAAACATAGAGCAATGATGTAATTGGTGAATTACATAAAGCTCCAGAATGTCTATCCTAGTTTTGGATAATGAAATCTTAGAAATTTCAGCCAAGTTCAGCCATTTTCCTTTTGCTGAATCCTTGGGGCATTTTTCTGCCTGAAGGAAATTTTCTAAGAGACTCCAGGGAATTTCTTTCCCTTAAGGGATTTTATGTCAAATTGTACATAACTATGACCAAGGCAGTGACAGCTGTGTCATTGAGCTAATGCAAAATTTAAGATAGTGTGTGATTTTCGAGATGTCTGGCTTTCGTTTGGCATGTCTGAGATTGATTTATCCATGTTGGGAGTTTTCAGCCAAAGAAGACATGGTATACCACTCTGTGGGACCATGGAGAGTTTAAAGAGTCGGTCAAGGCCTTCCTTATAGGGCTTGGAAGGTATTTTGGACTTAAGTGACCTTTATTCTAAGGGAAAGTCACTATTGGATTTTAAGCAGGAGGAGGACTTAAATCCGATTTCTTTCCTTTCAAGCACCCAGGCTTGTTAACCACCTGATCAAAGTCAGTATCACTGGTAATGGAACAAAATGACATTGTGTCCTTGCCACAGTGTTCTATCAGGAAGAGGCATGATTACATCACCAGTGTAGGATTGTTGCCAAAAAATATTTATCTGGAATCACAAGACAACACGTAGATCCTGCTTGAGGCATGTTCTACAAAAAGCTGATCTGAACTTTTAAAAAATGTCAGTCATAAAAGATCATAAAAAGGTGAATAGATACATAGTTACTGATTAAAGGAGACAGTGACATGAGAATGTGAGTGCAAAGTGTGTGGCTTTAGATAGGGTTCTGGAAATTTAAAAAAAGCCATATAAGACATTATTTGGTGACATTTGGGGAAATTTGTGTGTAGATACTATCAGAGTTAAATTTTTTGGGTGTGATAATATAGCAGTTATGTGTAGTTATGTAGGAGAATGTCCCTGTTGGTAGGAAGTACATGCTGAAAAGTTTTTGGAGGAGAGAAATGTCTATAATTTTTTTCCCAGTGGTTCAGGGGAAGAAGTATATATAGATAGGAATAATCCAAATGTGGCAAAATGTTACTAATTGTTGAATTTATGTAGAGAGTGGTATTTTATTTTGCCATTTTTATTTTTTTTTAAGTTTATCTGACACCCAGTGTGGAGCTTGAACTCAAGACCCTGAGATCAAGAGTTGCATGCTCCTTTGAGCTGGACAAGTATCCTTGTGCCATATTTGCATCCTTTCTGTAGGTTTAAAAGTTTTCAAAAAGAAAAGGAGGGTAGAACAAGCATATGATAAGGTCAACAGCTAGAAGATCTCTCTCTTTAACCCTTTAGTTGTAGTAAAGTCTGTTGGCATTTCTAAAGTACCTAAGGTGTTGGATAATTTTGTGAAGATGATGTACAATTTTTCCAGAGTATAGGTGTAGTGAGATTCAGTAAGTAAATATGCTCAAACTTCCAGTAGCCTTTGGGTAATGAAAGGATTATTCTGGGTAATCGAGTATCCCAGATGACTAAAATGTGTGTGTGTGTGTGTGTGTGTGTGTGTGTGTGTGTGTGTGTGTGTGTGTTGGTGGGGGGGGAGTGTTTAAAATCTCTTTAACCCTAAAACTTTTATTTTGGAAACTGAAGGATCCTAAAATGTCTTTTTTATTTTCTTTCTTTTTTTTTGAAGAGAGAGACAGACAGACACAGTGTGCAAGTCAGGGAGGGTCAGAGAGAGAGAGAGAGAGAGACATAGAATCTGAAGCCAATTCCAGGCTCCAAGCTGCCAGCATAGAGTCCTGTGTGGGGCTCAAACTCAAGAACTGTGAGATCATGACCTCAGCTGAAGTTGGACGCTTAATTCACTGAGTTATCCAGGTGCCCCCTAAAATGTCTTTTTGAAGAGCAACTCCTGAGTAAGTTTAGTACTTAACAAAAATCCAGTTTCCAAAATCATTTATAAGGTATAATACTACTTTTCTTAGGTATCAGTGGACCATTATTTCATTCATGAAAGCAATCTTTCTAAAGTAATAAAGCTTACTTCCTTTAAGTACCAAAATATTCAAAAATAAAATGAAAGTAGTCTTCCAAAAATACCATGCATATTTACCCACTTTCCTTCTATAGTGCTGATTGTTTTTTGGTTTAAAAATACTACATTTACATCCTGCTTTTGCCATTTTTTCCCTAGGCAAGTGACATAGTAGCTGAATCTCATTCTTCCATCTGTAAAATAGAAACATAGAACATTATGAATAAGAAAACATGTAAAGCACATGAAATACTAGGTGCAAAGTAAATGCTAGTTCCCCTTTGTTTTATTTAAAAAAATCTTATTGGGGTGCCTGGGTGGCTTAGTCGGTTAAGCATCCGACCTTGGCTCAGGTCATGATCTTACTGCTCGTGGGTTGAGGCCCCACATCGGGCTCAGTGCTGACAGCTCAGAGCCTGGAGCCTGCTTTGGATTCTGTGTCTCTGTCTCTCTGCCCTTCCCCTACTCATATTTGCGTTCTCTCTCTCTCTCTCTCTCAAAAATAAACAATGAAAAAATTAAAAAACTTATTGTAAAATAAAACATGGGCACAGAAAACTACATACAACAAATGTATAGTTGAATGAATTATATAAATTGTGTGCTTTTTATTCAAAATATTGAAAGTTTTTTCTTTTTTTAAAAAAATTTTTTAACGTTTCATTTATTTCTGAGAGAGAGAGAGACAGACAGACAGCATGAGCAGGGGAGGGTCAGAGAGAGAGGGAGATACAGAATCTGAAACAGGCTTCATCAGGCTTGAGTTGGCTGTCAGCACAGAGCCCGATGCGGGGCTTGAACCCACGAACCGTGAGATCATGACCAGAGCCGAAGTCGGACGCTTAACTGACTGAGCCACCCAGGTGCCCCGAAAGTTTCTTTTCTTTAAAGTCATATAATTTTGTTATGCACATGTGTTCATACAGAGCAGATTATCATGGCTCCTTTGCAAGGATGACACACAAATGTGTGAAGTGGTCCATGTTTTTCCATTTGCAACGATGTGGATGGAGCTAGAGAGTATTGTGCTAATAAGCAAAATAATCAGAGAAAAACAAATACCATTTGATTTCACTCATAGATGGAATTTAAAGAACAAAACAAAGGAGCAAAGCGGAAAAAAAAAGGCAAACCGAGAGACAGACTCTTAATTATATAGAGAACAAACAGATGGTTACCAATGGGTACATAAGTGAGGGATGGGTGAAATAGGTGATAGCGATTAAGGAGTGCACTTACGGTAATAAGCACTGTGTGTTGTATGGAAGTGTTGAATCACTGTATTGTATACCTGAGGCGAATTTTACATTGTATGCTAACTGGAATTTAAATAAAAAAAGAATATGTGTTGAGATTGGTCATTCTGGGTTCAGAGTCTAATTTTGATTCATATTCTTTTATGTCCTGTATAATTTTCTTAATATTTTTTAGTTCCTTTAGAAACAGTACTTTCCAGGGGTGCCTGGGTGACTCAGTGAAGCTTCCAACTTTAGCTCAGGTCATGATCTCATGGTTTGTGAGTTCAAGCCCCACATTGGCCCTTCTGTTGTTAAGGCAGAGCCAGCCTCAGATCCTCTGTCTTTCTCTCTCTCTGCCCCTTCCCTGCTCTTTCAAAAATAAATAAACATTTAAAAAAATTTTTTAATTTTAAACGTTTTTATTTATTTCTGAGAGAGACAGACAGCGTGGACAGGGGAGGATCAGAGAGAGAGAGGGAAACACAGAATCTGAAACAGGCTCCAGGCTCTGAGCTAGCTGTCAGCACAGAGCCCTATGCGGGGCTTGAACCCACGAACCATGAGATCATGGCCTGCGCCGAAGTTGGACATTCAACTGACTGAGCCACCTAGGTGCCCCATAAATAAACATTTTTAATAAATTAAAAAAAATTAGTACTTCCCAGTTTTGATCTGTTTTTCTTTTCGGCTTGCTCTTGTAGGGATATTGTTTTATTCCTTATCTCTTTTTTACTTTTAGTAACTTTGTATGGGATTTGATTGTATAATTTCTGTTTCTCTTTTATGTGAATTTAATTTTCCTGAGTTTTTAGAAGGAATCTTTGTTTATATAACTTTTGTAACTTTATAGAGCTCCTTCTGTTAAAATTATGGCAGCTTGTTTTCTCTGGAGTCCTTGCTCTGATCCCTCCCACTACTTTAGTTTGACCCTTCTATTTTCCTTCCTCATCTTTTTTTGTCCTGCTTAATTTTGATTCTGCTCCCAGCAGTTGCTCCTCATTTGTGAACCTTGTCCTACAAGGGAGCCTTGGCCCATTAGTTTAGAAGGTTCATGGGTATTAAATTACTTCCATTCCTTTAAGCCTTACCTTGGTTCTCCTGCTACCCGTGCACTATTGGATGGAGTCCACACACCTCCCAGTGTAGCTGCTGTTCTCGTATTGGCCCTGTGCCTTCTACTTGTTGACTATTCTAGAATTCTCAAGATCTTCACTGAAGCTAGGTTGTTTCCCACACAAATGCTGTAACACCACAGTTTGTGACTATTGTAGTTTGTCCCACAAGCTTGTATTTTGGAGTTCTTGGGGGGAATATCTTGTCATTTACTGTTTAGTTTTGCTACCTAGTTGTTCATTGATAGATGGGAATTTAGGATGATACAAAAATGATAACCATCTCTATCTTATGAGAATCTCTAGATTTTTTTGTCTTAATGTTAAGTTAGGGTACTGATATGATTTGGTCTTTTCCTTAGTATTGTTTTATTTATGTTTTAAAAGGTGTCATAATAAAATAAAATGACAGACCTCAGGTGAGTTAAAAGGGGTATTAAGCTTTCAGGCTTTTGTATTTACTTTTTAATAGATTTTACAAATAGGCGTAATTTTTCTGTTGTGTAGTGTTGAATTTCATTTGACTCTACTGTTGATGTGACTGATAGCTTCTTTTCTCATTAGGGTCCTTTTTTCTAATCTCTTAAGCTTTGGAAGTTTGATTATCAAACTTTACAACTCTGTGTGAAATAGGAGTAATGAGGTTCAAGGTTTTGAGAGAAAGGAACTTTTGCTTTCATTTCTTGTGGTCTTTTTTGCTTTCCCTGAGTTGTTGCAGCTTTATACTGGATATAGACAGATTGATAGCCAAGGTAGAAAGAAATGAGGCAAGGATTCAGTATTTTCCTCAGTGACCTCTGATGACGTATGATTGAACATTTTCAAAAGTTGATAAGAAAACAGTATACATTTTTCTTTTAAAATGCATTTAAGTAAACATTAGTTGATTTAAAGACGTACAGACAGTCCTCACTGTATAATAGTAAAACGACCGTAAAAATGTGCAAGCTGAGATTATGCAAAGCAGTTTAATCAATGGGGAGATTACAGTGGTTTGTAACCTTTGAAATATTTTGTCAAAACATTAATCTTAACCATTGTAGAAGTATTGAGAAATAAAATACTGAAACTGCTTTTTTCAATGTTTTTTTAAAATTTATTATTGAGAAAGAGAGAAACAGAATGGGTGGGGAAGGGGTAGAGAGAGAGGGAGACACAGAATCTGAAACAGGCTCCAGGCTCTGAGCTGTCAGCACAGAACTCAGCACGGGGCTCAAACTCATGAACCGTGAGATCATGACCTGAGCTGAAGTTGGATGTTTAACCGACTGAGCCACCCAGGCGCCCCTGAAACTGCTCTTTAGTAGAACTTAAAATACTAGATACAGTGAGAATTTTTTTTTTGTAAATACTGATTAAGAGTAGTTTAAACAGTGCTTCTCGGGGCGCCTGGGTGGCTTAGTCGGTTAAGCGTCTGACTTTCACTTAGGTCATGATCTCGCGGTTCGTGGGTTCGGGCCCCGCGTCGGGCTCTGTGGTGACTGCCAGCTCAGAGCCTGGAGCCTGTTTCAGTCTGTGACTCCCTCTCTCTCTGACCCTCCCCTGCTCATGCTGTTTCTCTCTCTCTCCTAGAAATAAATAAAAATATTAAAAAAAAATAAACAGTGCTTCTCTTTGCATCTTTTCTATGCCTTGATGGCTTTCAATATTTTACCCTTCACACTTTGAAATGTCATGAAGTATCTCCAAGAGTTTCTTTAATGGGTCACTTTCTCTGGTACATTGTCATCCTTTTCATCATAGTCCTCATCAGTGTTAGTAAGTCCTGTCATCCTTTACATCACAGTGCTCATCAATGTTGGTAAGTCCACCTTCACCAAGTTCTTCTGGCCACACATCTAACCAAGAGGCGCTCGAACCACAGCAGCGTCAACACGGCAATGGCCACTAATTTCTTCCACACCTTCATTTACATTGAATTCATATTTCACTTCCAGAGTATCACTTTCCATTTCTTTGCCACACTTTTTAAAAAATGTTTATTTATTGGGGCGCCTGGGTGGCTTAGTCGGTTAAGCGTCCGACTTTCGCTTAGGTCATGATCTCGCGGTTCGTGGGTTCGGGCCCCGCGTCGGGCTCTGTGCTGACTGCCAGCTCAGAGCCTGGAGCCTGTTTCAGTCTGTGACTCCCTCTCTCTCTGACCCTCCCCTGCTCACGCTGTCTCTCTCTATCTCTCCTAGAAATAAATAAAAACATTTAAAAAAATTAAAAAAAAAATGTTTGTTTATTTTGAGGGGGAGGAGGGCCAGAGAGAGGAGGAGAAAAGAAAAGAGAATCCAAAGCAGGCTTTGTGCTGCTAGTGTGGAACCTGGTGCAGGGCTTGAACCCATGAACCATGAGATCATGGTCCGAGCCAAAACCAAAAATTGGACGCTGAACCGACTTAGCCACCCAGGTGCCCCTGCTGCACTTTCATCTTTATTGGTCAGTCCCCTCTTTGGATTATCCCCATAGGAGTAAAATGTCATGTGGATTTATCACTGGGCAACAAGGCAGTAACACAACTGTACTCTAGCTGTTTTGTTTTGCAGTGACCAGTTGCTAATAAACTTTGAAAGAAGGGACATATCGGTAACTCATCATAATATTTGTTCTTTATGTGATAACTTGTGGATTGAAGAGCTGGCAATGAAGTTTGTGCTTTGTATAATTACTCACAGTTAATATATGGTAACTGAAATTTGAGCCATGTTGTTGCAAACTGGTGTTAATTAACTGAACTTTGATATAAACAATGGTGGATTCGTACATGTCTGAATCATGCAAAGGGAGAACTCTGCCTGCAATGTAAAAAAACAGGTTAGTACTTGGATTTGATAAAAATTATGACTGTGATAAGAGGACTGAAATCTGAGAAATTTACACAGTAACAAAGTGGTCATTCAAAAACACTTTCTATTCTTTATAAAAATTAGGTTGGGGCGCCTGGGTGGCTCAGTCGGTTAAGTGTTCAACTTCGGCTCAGGTCATGATCACATGGTTTGTGGGTTCCAACGTGGTGTCGGGCTCTGTGCTGACGGCTACCTCGGAGCCTGGAGCCTGCTTCGGATTCTGTCGCCCTCTCTGACCATCCCTGCTCATGCAGTTTCTATTAGAAATAAATAAAACATTTTAAAAAATTAGGTTAAGAGAGGGGAACAGAGGATCTAAAGTGGACTCTGTGGTGACAGCAGATGTTCTACCGTGGGGCTCGAACTCACGAACCGTGAGATCATTATCTTAGCCAAAGTTGGGACGCTCAGCCAACCTAGCCACCCAGGCGCCCCAATTAAGATTAAGGAATTTTAGACAAATTCTTAAAAAAATTTTTTTAAATGTTTATTTATATTTGAGACTGGGGGAGCGGGGTGACAGAGAGAGGGAGAGTCAGGACCTGAAGTCGGCTCTGTACTGACACAGTGATCCTGATGTGGGGCTTGAACTCACAAACCGAGAGATCATGACCTGAGCCGAAGTCTGATGCTCAACTGACTGAGCCACCCAGGCACTTCATTTAGACAAATTCTTTAAGGGGTAGCGTGTATGCACCTGCATGTGTATAATCTGACTAAGGGCAAAAGTCTGGAAGGAAAAAGTTTTAGCACTTCTTTTATTCTAGTATAGTCTATAAACTTCTTTGTGTGATCTGATTTTTCTACG